CCGGATCTCGGCGACCCGGCGCTGTAGGAATGAGACTTACAACCAACGGACGGAGAAACTATGGACAATCGCACGTACAGGCCTATTGGTCGATGTGTGCGGACTACCGGGCACAACCGCGCGCAAGGTGCGGATGCACTCGTGTTCGGATGTTTTAAGGATCGACGCCGGGTCTCGGCACACAGAGCAAGTAGAAACGGGAAACCAGCTGTGCACTGTGTGCAAACGTGCCGTTTACATAATGGTAAATGCTGCTTGACCCATAGACGTCCCGACAATATACCTCAAAGCAGCTAATTGTACTTTCTCAAAGCAGTCTCAAAGTGTAACAAGTTGTAGCCTAACGAAGACAGAGCGACCCATGAAAGAAACGTAGGCGCACAGCGCAAATTATTATGACCAAAATCCACCTAAAATGTTTATGTTTTTCCAGACGCGTTCCTCAGAAGCCCAAAAACATAACTATACCAAGTAATCCGCCTCGTCTGTTTAAATTGCTTGATATTTACCGGCTATAAGGTGGTCATTATTCCATAAATGTCACTTAAAAATGCGTGAACGATGAACAACAATACTCCGCCGCCCGTTAAACTCATGAAAAGAGGATATTTCACTACCCTGATAAGTTCTAGCTGTATGCGTTCTCAAAGGCGACAGGAACCATTTGCTATGTGTCGGCAGTATTTGCAAGGTTATAGCAATCTTGTTTATTATTGCTTCGCTTTTCCGCTACCTCACAAGCATCTTGATAGTGCTAAATTTGTCGGACTTTGAGACTAGAGCTGTAGATCCTGTATATAGTGATACACTTATCTGAGGACCATGCTTGGTAAAATAATATTATCTGGGCTTTGGGAAACCCAATGCTGTGTCCCTCCAAGCATCATGTTATCAAGATAAGCGAACCTAACTTTGAGAGTTACCAAAACATCAGTATGGATATGAATGACCATAACCCTCCTATAACGTTGCAGGTGATTGAGACGGCATGGCTAAAGCGAGCGCTTCACATCTGTATACAGTTTTTAACTAATACAACCAATTTGAGAAATATTCGGTGCAAACAGCGCAATTCACAGTCACGCCCACTTTAAGACCCAAAACCCTCTTGTTTGTTTAACTTGACATCTGCGAACTTGTGCATGCTGTTTCGTGTCGCCTATGTAAAGGGCGTGCACCACATTTGTACTGAAATAGCCTTCTTGGAGATCATTTGGTGCAGTTCACAGCCCTGCCCTTCTTAAGACACAACCCCCTCTAGTTTATCAGCTACACGCCCGCGAAGATGCGCAGACTATTTCGTGCATGCTTAAGGTCACGAAGGTGTCTCCATGACGTCATAACAACGCCGCTGAAATCCTATCATTCCATCGACCATGCGGCGATCAAGGCCAAATAAAATATAATTGTCGAGTCGCTGAACCTGGCGTTCGTGGGCACTACTTTGACGCGCGAGGCAGCGACTCTGACGTGCAAACGTTTTGTGACGCTGTCAGACGATTACGTATTGAGGATCATACTTGCTAAATGGGGTAGCTTGTGTAGCATTGAGCAGTCTTCCGCTGGAAAGTATACCGATAGGTACAAGTGAACGCATTTCTGATGCTTGCCTAAATGCTTTCAAAAGGGGAGCATTCGCTGTCAAGAAAATGCGATTGTGCCTAGTCCAATTCATTGCGATCAGTATCTAGCAAATATATTTGCGTTTTTTGGAACGCTGCGTATTTACCGAAGTCGCGAGTCACTGTAAACTCATCGATTGCGGCGATTAGATATCCGGTCCTGACCAGACTCCTGCCAATTACGAGGTGACGCTGTTTGCGAAGCTGGCGTGCGTGCTGCGTGGGTGGACTCCCTCTCGTCGAACGTTCATATGAGGTGGAGCTTCCAACGCATTGGTCATGCCCACTGATGTGAACTGGAAATGTATTCGGCTACGTAACACGCGCTCGGGTGGGAGGGCTCAATGTGACCCCTCCCCGAAAGGTTTTTCCAGACTGATTTCCGAAAGGCGTGTCGCAGTCGCGCCGAATTGGGTATAGCTGTGGACAACTGAGTAGCGGATCTTTTCATATATAAAATTTAGATGCACCTTGTAAGGTCACCGACCTAGGGCAGGTAAAAATCAGGTCATGGATTCAGCGAAGGCAATTCCTAGGGAATCGTTCAATATCATCCAACAACAGAGCGTTAGACGAAGTCGTGCACCTCTGTGATGGTTTCCTAACGAACACAACTGCATCAACAAAGGTCAGACCAAGGTCAACATCAACCTGTTTTGTTACTCTAGAGCTTCCTGCGTGGGACAGTTTCTGGTGTTCATTTCGAATCTGTTGATAACAGGAACCACATCATACATCTTCCACGGACTTCTTAATGGTTGGAATAGGTAATGGCCTAAAATGACTTGCGTCAGTATTTTTAAGGAACGTACTGCCCAGCGTAATCCTTCAAAAGAGTATTGTATTATTTGTGTTGCCATGACCTTCAAAAGGTCACACAGGGTCACTGATCTTAAATAGGCACCAGTGACCTTCTACTCAGAATATGTATCTAGGCCCACGGTGGTTGCCTGCAAATGTCTGGGGGCACTTAAACACCAATCTGGAGTCTGTCAATATTTAGCATTATTTGACCCCAAGATCATGGCCTAGGAGCCTCAAATTTAGGCACAAGTGATTTTTCGTTCAGGCCAACACCCTGTGAGTGTAGAGTCTGTAGCTCTCTTAGGTTTTTAGATCTCAGGGGGGCCGAATTGACCCCACCCCCACCCGAGCGAAGGGTATTCAACCGGCCACCCGAGCGCGTATTTAACTTGGTTTGCGGCACCATCTACATGACAATTGATGAGTGGCACGTATGTTACCATCTCACTCGTCTCACGTCGCAATAATGACTAAATTTGTCTGACTGGTTTAAAATTTGTACTGATATGGCTATCGGCTGTATCAGTGGGAGCCATTACAGCGACGCATCTGCCACAATAAATTGAATGCCAGTGGCGTAAAATACCATATTTGGCTTCTGGAGAAACACAGGACGCAAATAAAGCGTTTGGGACTCCCAATTTGCGTCAACGAGTGCAAATTAATCGTCGCGATGTCTGAAAACTTGTTCCCTATCGGAGTACGTTACCTGTCCCAACCAGTCACCCGCATTGGAAGGGTAGTAATTTACAGAGTGTGTCCCCCTAAATCATTTAATCGAAGTGCCTGCATGGCTGAAGGATTTAATGATCAAGCTAAAAACAACAAGAGCTAAAAGCAATTTAACTTCAAACATTGTTGTTTGGCGAATAACTGTAATCATGATGGTGTCGTGCAATCAGGATTTTCGGGCAGCGCTGTGGTGCACAAACGAATGTAATTCGTCCAAATTGCTCAATATTTTATCATCTGCGCGCCGAAACCCGTGTTCTCGCCGTACACGCGGAAAACTGTCTGCAACTTCGCGCCTCGCCGGTTCGCCCAGGAGACGCGTCGCTCGCCAAGGATCAGACACCACTGCCGCGACGGCCGCGCCCGACCCCTGACCTTTCATGCCCGTCGGCGGCGGCGGCGGCGGCGGCGGCTTTATGCCTTCCGCGGCGGTGCTAAGTTACCGCCGCAGGCTCCGCCGTAATTGAGTCATGCGCCCGGAGCCGGCGGGAGGCCGCAAAGATTCGCGGCCGTTGCGGCGCAGTCACGCGGTTCATTTCTGGAGACATTGCTGGCGACAGCGCGCTTCGGGCCGCCAAAGTGCTCGCGCCAGCGAGCGTTCAGCCGGCGCGCCGCCGCTGAGTTGTCGCGCGGGAGTGTCCTGCTTTTAAAATGTCTCCGTGAGTCGCCGGGCTTAGACTCGAGGCTTTGGGGAGGCCGGTGCGTGTCACGGGCAGTTTATGTCGCACATTAATGGGATTTTCAGCTGCACGCTGCCGGTGCTGTTAACCCTGGGTGGCAATCCTAGGAGCCAGCAGATGCGATGTGCAGTGACGCTGCCAATTCAATTAAGGGATGTTCAAAATTCCAAGCTACTGTAGTAAGCATCAGATGTAATAAAATAAGACAATTTATAGCTGTTTATTTATTTTTCAGTGGATGGGACTGCTCCAGACAGCACAGTTTTTTTCTGTTCAGTAAATATGTTCCTTAATGCGCCATTGGTCACGTCATCGCACTTTGCACAAAATTGATTGAGAGCCAATTGACGGCGGTTATATCTGGAAATTGTACTCGCGAATGCCAGCTTTGAACGAATCAACAATTATATTTTTGCCCTTGATCGCCGCATGGACAATGAAGTGCAAGGATTGAAGTGAATTTATTATGGCGTCATGGATGCCTGGGTGACCTTGAAATAATCACCCCGATAGTCTCTGCGTCTTCGCGGGCGTGTAGCTCAGAAACCAGAGGAGTCTATGGTTTAAGAAGGGCAGGGCCGCGAACTGCAGGGAATTATCTTCAAGATGGCTATTTCGGTGCAAAATCCTACACAAATGTGTAACACTCCGTTTAACGTGACACAAAGCAGTGTAGAACATGCAGTTCTAATCAGATGCAGAAATCCACAATCCTGCATTGGCGGTGCATTCATATTTGCCATTTGATATTTGACAAGCAATGTGCTATAGCCCTCATTTCTCACCCACATTATGTCGTCCTTCACTTCATGCCTCACCATCTACTGCCGTCTCCCTCCCTCTTCTCTGCAGACACGCTCAGCAACACTGCGTATGTTGTCAAGTGGGGCATGCCGGCTGGAATTGCGGTGTCACAGCCTTCCAACGCACCGCTGAGATGATGCCGCCAGCCAACTGCCGAAGTCACCAGCTGACTGCAGATGTCGCCAGCTGATTGTCAATGCCGCCAGCTGACTGCCGATGTCACTAGCTGACTGTCGATGTCGCCAGCTGACTGTCAGCGCCGCCAGCTGACTGCCGATGTCACCAGCTGACTGTCAATGTCGCCAGCTGACTGCCGATGCCGCCAGCTGACGGTCAATGCTCGCTGTGTGATTGGCAGTGCCTCGAACGCGAATACTCGGCGACACCGAGATTTACGTGGACATTGGAAGCACGCTGAACCTCACGTGCACGGTGTCGTACAGCCCGGAGCCCATCGAGTTCATCTTCTGGTACCAGAACGAGACGGTAGGTGTGCGGAATAGTAGTATGCGCCGCAAGCGGACCACGTGTTCATGTTTGTAACTGGCTTTATCAATCACCAGCTTCATGAACGCTTCCATATTTTTTCTAAGATTATTTGCTATCTCCAAGCTGCAGCGTCACAACAAATATAATGTGTGCATGTAATGAAGCCTTCGGCATAGGCAGGCCGTTACAAAAGCCGCGTTGTAGACTGGTGTGGGTGCTTTTTGAGGCCTGAATCGAATGGTGATATCTGGGTCAAGACTGATTTTTAGCTTCCTGATAAACATGTGCTTAACTGGTAAAGTTTTGTTGGCTTGATGCGACTGGCACCATATTTGCCAAGGAAGTGGAAAGAACAAAATATTACCCTGGCTGTTGGGGCTAATAATTGACCGTTTGCATGGCAAACGACGCTCCGTTCCGTGTACATCAATCAGTGCTTTTAATTCGTTGTCAGCCGGTTGTGTCAATGGGAGACGAAGCCAATATTACCGCTGCGAACAAGGTGTTGCGTAATGCTTCTGAGCGCTACATGCACAAGACCGAACAAAATGATTTCCGCACTGCCTCCTTACAAGCCTTCGCGAGTGTTTTATGACCGCGCAGGCAGCACCAGCAGGCAAATAGCATAGCTCTTCACAATTGATGCATCCCACCCACAAAACCGCCTGTGTTGGCCACACCGGAGGGCCTGGCCGGTGGATCTGTGCCAAGCATCCTCACGCCCCTGCTTGAGAACCGCTGCTCTGTAGCCAACACACATTCAAGATAATAACGGCTGCAGGAATTCGGCCGCTCGCAGCCTTGGAATTCGCGTAATTTTGACGAACGATGTCTGAACGGCAAGTCACGCGTTGCTGCGCGCTCCCGATCTAAATCACAGACGGCACTCGAAATATGCGCCCCCCTGCGGTCCTCGCATCACCGGTCGCCGCAGCCCCCCCGCGCCACCGGTCGCCGCGGCCTCCCGCGCCACCGATCGCCGCGGCCTCCCGCGCCATCGATCGCCGCGGCCCGCCCGCGCCACCGGTCGCCGCGGCCTCCCGCGCCACCGATCGCCGCGGCCTCCCGCGCCACCGATCGCCGCGGCCTCCCGCGCCACCGGTCGCCGCGGCCTCCCGCGCCACCGATCGCCGCGGCCTCCCGCGCCACCGATCGCCGCGGCCCGCCCGCGCCACCGGTCGCCGCCCCGACAGAAGCTCGCGCTCCGCGAGTGGCCGCATGATCTCGGCGGCACGTTCCCAGCCGGGCGAATGGCGCCGCCGGCACGTCCCCAGCCAGACGCCCGCCGATTAAGCGCCCCGTCATCAGGGACCGGACGTGTTCGCATCGGTCGGACCACGCCTGTTTGGCGCGCGGGCGGCGGCCCATCGCGCCGCCCGCCGCCGCGGGCATATTGAATCTGCCGGCCGACGAGCCCGACGCTGCCCCGAATCATAATGAGTCAAAGTGGGACGGTCGGCTGTGTTGTTGTCTCCTGCTGGGCGGTCGAGGCGCCGCCCTAAGCCTCGGGTCGAACCGCTTTGGCGCGGCGCCGGCCTCGCCTGGCGTTAGGTCAAATAAGCGGGCGAGGTCATTAGCGTGATTTGCAGAGCGCGAATTTCGAATGGCGAGGGATTTTCTTTGCGAGCGGTTCGTTTGTTTGGATGGTGAGGTATGCGGTTCGCGTTTCACTAAATTGTTGTGGCATTCGAACCAGTCATGAGTTGTTGTTGTAGATGTCGACCTGTACTTTTCAAAGCCCCGAAAATCAGGACAAGCGAGCCGACCAACCTCGCCTTCAGTTGCTTTGCTCTTCTGACAGCTTCACGTGCTCGAGATCGGACCGTAGTCCGCGGGCTGTTCGTTCCCGGGCTCTGATGTTGTTACTCCGTCAGCCCACGTCAGCACAGTACCAGATGTGGAATCCGTACGCTTCCGATCAAACGCGTTCACGCAAACCAGTAAGGCATGCTTTTTATTTTACTAAGTCAAAACGCGTGAGCAAAATGCTTAATCACAAACGTCTACGCCCGACCACCTTGGGCAACTGTAGGTGTGCGTATCGCACAGATCCATGCATATGTGTGACTGCCTGGTTAACAGACAACGTATGACGCATCAGGCTTGACCCCCAGCACCCCCATGTTTTGCACGAGCCGTGGTCAGCAGCGCGTCTGTCCCCACGTCCAGGTGGTAAACTACAACAGCTCGCCGTCGGGGCGAGTGACCATCGTCAGCGAGCGGTCCACCACCACCAACTCGTACCTGCTGATCCAGGCCGCCCGAGTGCAGGACTCGGGCATATATACCTGCAGCCCCTCCAACGCCCAGGTGGCCAAGGTCAAGGTGCACGTGCTTAAAGGTGAGGCCATGCTCATTCGTCGGGAAGCAGTGGCCAAGTTCGTTGGGTCTTTCCCTCGTTGCCTGTCCTGTTCAACTATCTCGCTTGTTTACTCACTCACCCACCCACTTACTCACTCACCCACCCACTCACTCACTCACTCACTCACCCATTCACTCACTCACTCACCCACTCACTCACTCACTCACTCACTCACTCACTCACTCACTCACTCACTCACTCACTCACTCACTCACTCATTCACTCACTCACTCATTCACTCACTCACTCACTCACTCACTCACTCACTCACTCACTCACTCACTCACTCACTCACTAACCCATTTATTCACTGTGCCTGGGTGGTTGGCTAAGAGTGCTAGCAACAACCTCCGCTTAGCACGCTTTCTGAATCTATCGTTACATTTGCAACGGGTGCAGAATCCATGTCCGTTAACAGATGTGACGACATGACATCCATTAACAGATGTGACGACGCTGTCAGATAATGCCAGCCGCGCGCGCCTGAGGCCAATGACACTGGGCCAACTTTCTCACTTGACGCACCTGATGCGCTTCCAAGCACGTGTCTTATGCCAACCTTTTAGTTCGTGGGGCTCGATGGCACGGGCGTTTCCTGGGCCCACCATTATTGCTGGAGCTTCCTTGCACTTAGCCCTCAGCACACCCAGCTGCGGCCCAATCTGAGCTCACGTAATGTTCACCGCCGCTGGCTGTCGGTGTGCTCGCGTGCTGTGTTTTTGCCTGCTGTGTTGTTTTTGCTGTGGTGACGCCCTTTATTCCCCACAGGCGAAAAACCTGCGGCAATGCAAACAAACGGAGTCGCTGCGCTGTCGGCCTGCGCGTGGCTGGTAGCCATCGCAACGGTTCGTTGGGTCATCTGAGGCGAGCTCATCTCGCGGCAGGTGACGCTGTCGACCGCCAGGTCACAGTGTCATGACCTCCGAACTTTCCAGTGAGCGTGACGCGGACGCTCCGCTGCCCGTGACGCAGAGCGAGCAGCTGGTGTCTGTGGTGAGAACTCTCGGTCCGGTGGAGAACGGTGGAGAACTCTCGGTGCCATGGAGGACGGGAGCTCAGGCAGGGCAGCGAAAAGGACGCAGACCTTCAGCAGTGGTCGAAGAACAATACGGCCGAACAGTACGCGTCGGGCGAGTCGAAGTGGACGCGAAGTCTGTCTAAGCGGAGCTGAGTCGTGAACGGTGGTGGAGCGTCTCTGGCCAGCGATGTGGTGTCACCAGTTGGGCAGACACTGGTTGCAAGCCGCGGCACCAGGTGTTCGACTGGCCCGGTGTTCCATGGTTGTGTGCCAGTGCTACAATCGCCCGAACGGGAACAGGTCGCGAAACGTGCTCCCCCTCCCGCCGACCGCTGGTTCTGTGTTCCCCGCCGAAATGTTGGGGCTGAAGACTTCCGTGTTGTCTGACCGGCAGACTGGTTGGGTGATCGGTGATCACCCGGTAGGCCGGCAGGGACGGCTTCTCTGTTACTGTGACTGAGGGGTATCCTCGCGTGCGTGAGTCAGGTGGCTCGCACATTCCGGCGCTGGTCGTGGCGGTCACAGTTTGAGAGGGATGCGCACGTGCCGTGCCGCATGGCACGTGCGCATTCCTTTCAAATGACGAGACCTCCATGACGTGCGCCATAAATGCGTTTTTCCGACCTATTCGCGTTTGGTTCTCTCGTCCTGCTGTTTGAAGATCCGTGTCTGGGAGGTGTTGTGCTGTTGCTCCGTTGCGCGCCAAAGAGCGCGATGTTCACGCTCGCGCGCGGTTCGGGCCGGTCAGGGCACTGTCTGAGAGGAAGTCTTTTGCATGAAAGAAGGCATGAGTGGTATCTTCTGTACGTTTAAGAAGTGGTTTGGGAGCATGGTTTGCGTTACGTGAGATAGACATGCGCTGCAAAAAAGTCAGGTGGACCAGAGTACATCTGATACAGAGTCCCAGAGGCAAATGGTCCAAAAGTCTGCGTGCCGTGGAATTGGACGTTTGTCATGTCTGTGAAGTGGTTGAGTATTTTGTTTACGAGCTTCAGTGTTCAAGCTGTTTTGCCGACCACGTACAATTCTGATGTATTTCAATGTGTAAGAGGTGAATGAGTTCCGTGCGTTCTGTGCGACCTGTGTACGCCCAGCATGTTGAGCAAATGTAAACAACCACTTGAAAGAGAACTCCCAAGTCAGCCCCATCCTGCGTGCCGTGAACTTACGCGCGTTTTGTACTGGCTGCAACTTCCAGACCGGTTGTATCTCAGGCGCCAAGCGCGTCATGCCACGCTGACGGGAGTGCCTATATCAGTGGCACTTGACCGTCCGGCGGATTTCAATGACGTTGCTGGACGTTCTGTCAATGAGGTCATGATTGGAGGTTCAATGAATACTTAATCTCGCAGGACGTTTACGACTTTGGCCGAATGTCATCCCAGTGGCTGCATGTCCTGACTGGGCTTAACGAGCATGTCACAGGTTATTTGCGTCAAAAAGGCTTGAAGCAAATTTATTACCGCCGGATATTGAAGTTTGAGATAGATTTATGGGCATGTTACACAGACGACCTGCTGGATTAATGTAAAGATGATGACGTCATATATTGCGTGTTTCCGTCCGCGATGTCGGTTCTGTGTCAGCTGAAAGATGGTGATGAAAATTTCCTTTGTTCGAGGATGGAAGCCCTTACAACCACATTGTGCTCGCACTTTCGAAGGCCAAATGGTAACAAAGACAGCGTCGCTGGCATGTTTTGTAAGAATCTGGTACCTCCTTGCGCGGAGAAATTGTGGTGGGAAGATATTGCAGTCGTGAATGCCTCAAGCCCTATTTTATTCGCGCATGAGAAATACAACCCCGTCGTGTACCAGTCTGTAAGGGAACGTGCGAAATGTTCGGTTGCGCGGACTTGGATTACATCGCGAAGCGTGGCGCTGGCTTTAGGGGCGATTAGGGAATTGCGAACGACGCTTCGAAGACAGACGGAGGCCATAATCATCATTTATCATCCCGAGGACGCACTCAAGCCGGTCGTCAGAACAAATCGAGCCGCGAGATTGATTGGTGAGGTTGGATTTCGAGCCCAACCCTGCCGTCAGCAGACGTCCAACATTGGGAATTCAAGAATCTTGGCCGCAATAGTAAACAACTGCTTGAAGTTGCGTGTTGACACGTCGTCGCCACCTTTAGGATATCCGCAACAAGTGCGGCAGCTTTGTGGTGCAACCAGCATTACTATTCTACGCCACATCCTCCTAACTGAGTAGGTAATCTACCAACACCCCAAGCTCTGCTTTGCATATGCGAAGCTCTAATCATCGTGCTAAAGTGAAGCTTCAGGCTCAGGGGTGCATGCTAAAACCGACAGCGACGTCAACAGATGGAAGATAGCGCGGACGGCATCCACATCTACCGCGCGGCGCGTGGCCTCTCGTGTCTTCACGCGACTGGCCTCTTCTTCCCGTACCCCGTGCGGAGATCCCTCCTCTTCCGCCGCCTCCGCCCCCCCCCCCCCCTCCCCGCTGCCCGACTCGGGTCAGGATCTCAGACCTGGCCCTTCGACCCCGGCGACCCGAGCAATCTCTCTGTGTCGGACCGCCCAGTTATTGGTCGCCCAGACGTTCGCCGGGCAATATCTATCTAGATTCTGCACTCATACATAAATGTAACAGATGCCGCGACCCTCGAACTGGATAGTGGTCATCACGCCACCAACTGGCCACCGCCGTCGCCATGCCTCGGCGACAGCATATCCGACGGCTCAGCGATGGCCAACGACCCCGCGGCTGAGGCGATTTGGCTGTGTCGGGACAATTGGAGCGGCACCGCTGGCCCGGGGGCGTCCGTGTCGCCGAGCGCGCGGCGGCCGGTGTCCGCGGGTGACACGTCGTTGTGGAGATTGGATACTCGGATGTGCTCGGCGGTGCACTCACATGGATTAGGTAACTGGGGCCTCGGAATGTTCCCGTGACGCACCGTTTGTACGCGATACTCGGTGGTGACCCGGTCTGTTCAGGAGCTGCTTGGATTCGGAGTCCATCGACCGCCCTGTGGTGGTAACGGAACCGAGCATCCAAGTTACGGAGCTAAGGCAACAGCTGTATGTTCGAGCAGCTATATACGCTGGGCGGGGCTTTATAATCACTGCAGTTCTAGCCCGTGTGCAGTAGTCCGAACAGACCTGCTGTCCAGCACCTTGACATCTGTGATATTCCCCGTTTAAATAAGGGTCGCCGCTTTTCGTAATAATTGCAATGCAACGCAATGCAACGCCATGCAGCGCTTTTTTATAATCTGCAATGCTGCATGATGCCAAACCCGTATGTTTACCAAAAAGCGGCGTGCATCACAAGCGCATGTGAATATTTTGCACCTTACATGTCCTTACGCTCGCAAGAAGGCACATTGAAGAGCACACCTGGACCTGGACTTTTTGGATTCATATGGCTATTCTTAGACTCGAATAGCCATATGAATCTCTGCCGTCCAGTGTCTTTCAATCACACGGCCCCGTCCGTTCTGTACACCGCTGTGTGGCTCCCCGCCTCCGCCTCCTGCCACGGCCCCGTCATACGCCAAGCCGCACCGGTCTCCGGCACCGCCCCCGCCGTCCCCGCTCGAAAGACTGAGGCCGGGCGGGGGCGGGGGCGGGGGCGGACGCGAGTCTCCGCAGTCGCCGTCCGCCAACAATAGCGCTCCCGTTCGCAGCGATGACGGACGGCCCCGTCAAAGCGACCCGTCCGCGGCCGAGTCGGGCCGGGGACGGCCCGCCGACGCCGGCGGCCGTGCGTCGGCACCGACGCGGCCGACGTCGCCCCCGAGCGGAGGCCACGCAGCGCTCCATCGCGTGCCGCGAGCGGCGGCCGCTGGCCAGCCGGCCGACAGGGCCCGGCTATCAGCAGCTGGACGGCCAGATTTATTTGGGAAGTTTTGACGGACGGCGGAGCGGAGCGCGGCTTTGCTTCGGAGGTGGCTGCGATGAAGCAGGAGGGCGCTGGAACGGATGGAGTAGTGTTGACTTCTGCGGTGAGAGCAGCTTCTTGCCGATGTTGGCTGATTTTTCTATAAGCTCGGGGAATACTGGGAACGTGCACAGGTGTTAAATGGTGGATACTGCAGTGGCGCAGTGTGTGTCTGCTGACGTGGTCAAGACAAAACTTTGGAATGCTTGTGTTCGACAAATATTGGAGGCCTTCAAGCATGTTTTTGTAAACCGAATTGATACTGGGTGCCGACACATTCCAACATACGCGCGTTCGAGAAACGCTCCTAGGGGACTTTCGGACAGCTGAAGTGGAAACTCCACGAACGTTTAGGAATCTGCAAACCCGGCCACCGTAAGGAAAATAAAAAAGAAGCAAATGGAGGCAAAGGAGAGCTGGAGCAAAAGAGAGAGAGAAAGAGAGAGGGAGAGGACGAGAGGAGAGAGAGAGAGAGAGAGAGAAGAGAAGAGAGAGAGAGAGCGAGAGAGAGAGAGAAGAGAGAGAGATATATCGAGACGAGATCTCGCTCTCTCTCGAGGAATGCTTCTCAGCTCGATACTCGAATCTCTGCTCTAAGCTGCCTCATCTCGAGAGAGAGAGCTCTCTTCATCTTCTGAGAGTAATAGACTCCTCTCGGTTGCTGATTATCACGCTAATGGCCATGATGCGTAAGTTCATTGCAAAAAGCCGAGCAGCATTGTTTGCGGACCTCTTTGCATGGGATTTGCTATCCAATCCATAGTTTATCAAAACGATTCCACCGGTTGATGCATTTGCTGTTTTTTTTATTGTTTGATTTCATGCCCACGTGATCCGCCACAAGTTCGTGCTATCCAGCAATCTGTTTTTGAGAAATGGTAGGACGATAGCACGCATTGCACTTCGTCCTCTAACCACTTTCGACAGTTTCTTTTCCAAAAGTCCGGAGCCGACCATCCTTTGCGCTGTACTACGGAGTAAGTGACTCGTGAAAAAAATCATCGGACCGTAAATTGCTGGCCTCGTCCACCCGTGCCAAGAGACGCTCGTAAACAATCGTTGGCAACAGGCAGACCAAATTAAGTTTTGTTTCGCGCGTTTCTGGATGGCACCCTCCCACGGATATCCTTCAAAATAATGGCCTCGTTTGTCTTTCGAAGTGCGTGAGTTAATGAATCGAAATGTCTGGAAAACAGAGAGATAAGCGTAATTCTCGCCTGGAATCGAGCTTTGTGGGTCCAAACGGAATCGTAGACGGATGGCGTGGACATTAAAACACCAGAAAGAGAAAAGTATTCTCACTCCAAGCATTCGTCGGTACGTCATTTGGGGCCTAGATCTGACGTCATTAACAAGGATTGGAAGAAATGTCAGTGCAAAAAAGCAAACTGTGTATACAGCAACTGTGTACCCGAGTGTATACAAAATCACGATTTGCATCTAACAAACCAAACGAAGCAAAGCGGGGTGTCGGCAGATCATTACAGATGAATTGTCGTGGTTTTCAGTACATACCTGGCGGTCCACGTATAATGTAATGGCGGCAACGATGAAAACTCATGGCTTTTCAATATTATCTACGTCCACCAGCAATAAATCATCACGCTTGGTTAGCTGCATTTACTCGTTCGACGACATTTCTCCTACCAGTTTAGTCATTCTTTCGAGGTCAGCATCGTGCTGATCCAATGCACGCATCGCTGTCTTTGCCAGCGAAAATGTTAGACCTATGCCTGCGCATACGATCACTTGCAATATCATTATTGTCGTGGTTGCTCATGTAGACCCGGTTGTTATTCAAGGTTTGAGACGCACTAACATGCCTCGCACTGGGAACTGCTCATCGTTCTAACGATAGCCATAATTTTTTCCAGACAACAAAAATGACGATCTATCCTAGGATTGTCACGCATATGTACCATAAATATATTTGTTAGGCAGCGCTTCAATGTTAGCATCAGTCTATTCCCTTCTACCGCCACTTCTAGTCCTCTAATCAGGCGCAGCAGTAGCGCATCGCGTTCATATCCACTGCGTCGCCTAGTACGAAGGGCGAAACAGACCCTACGTTATTCCTTTGGCGCAGCTATGTTTGATATCCGGCAGCTACTCGGAACCCATGCAACTTGCTTGGCACCACGTTTGCTGCTGGCCGCAGGAGGGCACTGGTTGGTTGACCCCACACATTGCTGCCATAACACGGCCACACGCATATCCTAGCCTTTCACATCGCCAGAAACGCGGCCTCGTTTCTGGGAGCCAGGCAATTCCGCATGGCACCGTTGAAGACCGCGGTGCGACGGATCGTTCCCGGGGGCTAGATTTCGCCCGCGGCGTCGCGCGTGACCTTGACCTCTGACCTCTGGCGGGCGGTGGGTGCGTGCCGGGGCGGCGGTCGCCAGAGGACCGGCCCCCGAGGTGTGAGTGTACGGTCAATACACGCCCCCGGGACGTGCAGGGCCGGCCGGCCGCCTCACCACCATTCGTCTCGGCGGCAATTACGCTCCGGGCTGGGAAGCGGGGAGGGTAATGGAGCCATCCACGAGAGCCGCCCACCAATGGGAGGCGCGCGCTGTTGACCTTTCGACCCCGGGGTGGCTCCGGCTGGCCGCGTTTTTTTGTGGCGGTTGTGGATGATGGGCCCGTGATTTATCGGCCACCTTTGGGTCATAGGAGATGTGACTGACGAGGCTAATCAAATGCGGCTGTTTCACGTCCGATTGGCCCTTGTCATCTCCGATTGACCCCTCTCTCCAGTGGTGTCAAGTCGAGTAAGCATCGTACACTTCGCGCAGATATTGCTGATGCTTCCGGGCTCGAAAGGACGCACGTGAAGCAAATCTAGACACAGTTTTCAATGCAGGCTGTGCCGCTCCAGGGTATCACGCTGAG